GGGGGGGGCAAACTCCAACGATGCTTGTTTTGTCCTATGCAAATGTTTGTCCCGTATCAAGGCAATGTATAGCCACTTCAAACAAATGGTCACGTCTCTTCACTGCCAACTGGTGCTCGTGGATGCGTGTGAAGACGGATCTTCCTGTTTTGCTATAACATAACGTGTCACAAGCTTCGCATGGGATCTTATAGATCACTTATTTCTTATTGAGGTTGCCAACCCTATCCTTGGGGTGTATAAGATAGACATGTAAATTAGCCATTGGTTTGTGCGCCACTTTTATTTGGTGTCTGTGCAAGTGGTTTTCAAAGAGTTCAGACACGTTCCTTATATAAGGAAGGATTCGCCATGTGTTTGTTTTGGGCGCCTGAGTGAAACTATCTGGTTCCTTTTTGTTGGATTGTTGTTGTCTCATGCATTGGCGTACAAAGTCTTTGCGGGAAAACAACTCAAACGGATAATTAAGCTAGATTCAGTAGGTTTCCCCGTCAGAGCAGTGTGTCTTCACTCGTCATAGCAGACTGTTGACGGTGCTCCTTTTGAGAGAGGTGGGGTTGTTGTTCGCAGAGTTAAGAGTAACTTCCACGTGCGTGTCTTTGCGGTAAACGGACGTTTGTAATGTTCCGTCAGCAGTTCGGTGAACGAGAACATCCAGAAGTGCGAGCTTTTTATTACCCTCCTTCTTGAGCTTGAATTGAATGCCCGGAATGGTTGAGTTGATGGTTTTGTGGAGGGCTTCGAGGTGGTCCTTTTTAACGACAACAAATATGTCGTCTCAATAGCCTACCCATAACGTAGGGCCGTTGATTCTAGCTTCTGTATGGTTATTTCAGCAAGGAATGCAGATATGGGCGAGCCCGTGAGAGCTCCTCATGATTGTTGATTGTACCGGTGATCAAATGAGAAATTGTTTTCTAGGTAGAGGTCCACAAGGTCAGGTTAGGCAGCTGCAAGAACCCTGGTTTCGTAACTCTTCGGGGCCTCCGCTGTGCATTGTATTTTAACGTCGGTACCATCAACTTTAAGTTTATGTTTAAGGTTGTGGTTAGGGTTAGGCTTGAATTGAAGATTGGGGTTAAGGAAAGGATTAGGGTTGAGATTTGAGCTATGTTTGCTTGCCGCAAACTGTATTGCCCAATCCAAACTTCGCTCCCAAAAACCCTTGATTTTTCTGTTTTATGACCGTTTTCATGACCCTACTTTGCAAATGTCATGTTGCGCGTCGGTTTCAGCACCTCATAGGAGAAAAAAATGCACTTTTACTAGGAACGCGAGTAATCTCAACGCCCCCTGCTATTTCAATAATTTTTCTCGCCCATTTGCCATACCGTTCCAACCAATATTATCACAATTCCTCTTTTTCCGGGAGCTCTTATGCTCCATATTTTATCGCTGGA